AAAATTGAATAGTGAGACACTGAGCGTGAATCCAAGTAACCAGCGGCTTACTAGTCAATGAGACGAAAAATTCAAAACACTCCGGACGCATGTTGAATCATTCAAAACGAGAGTAAATGGATGGTAGAATGTTGAGACTCTCGAAAGCTCACATGGTCGGGGATTCTGTCCCCGAGGAGTTGGGCATTTTTCGCAGTTCTGCATAACAAGAGCTTCCTAATTGAAGTATTGCTTAATCATGGCTTGTCACATAAATCGCAGGCTAATTTTATCTTCTGACTACATATGTGGCATTTTAATCAAGGAGAAGCATAATTTATTTTATTTCCGGCGAATTATTCGTTACTTTGATGATATGTGATCGATGCGTTATACGAGCTTGTGTATGAGCACATATGGGTTTTGCCACCCACTTGGAGCTTGCTTGCATCAGGAAGCCAGTAGAAAGTTGCGCGCCAATAACCTATTGAACATTTAATGTATCCTGATAGGAGATTTGTGTGAATTAATCCTGTCCTTACGCATGATGGCACTCGATGATATTGGGGAATCTCTTCTGTGCGCTGTTAAACTTGAGGTTGTCTCCGCCGAGGACACTTAGCCAGATCAGTCCTTGCACTCATAGTCAACGACCATGTGAGCTTTTGAGAGTCTCAACATTCTACCATCCATTTACTCTCGTTTTGAATGATTCAACATGCGTCCGGAGTGTTTTGAATTTTTCGTCTCATTGACTAGTAAGCCGCTGGTTACTTGGATTCACGCTCAGTGTCTCACTATTCAATTTTCGTAGTCATCTGTCTGCATATTAACTATAAAACCTTACTGTGGGCTTTCAATGTCAGTAGCATTTTTATTCTTGTTTGATGAACGGCTTGAGTTGTTCTGAGGGCAAAATAACAGAAGCTAAGAACTAGGGATGAAAAACAATAGGCAGATTACAGGAAGAAGGTAAGAAGACGACGAATAGACCACCGGAACAAGACGTTTACTGGCCAGACGGTTTGAATTCCTGCTTAAGCCAATTTTCGGAAACAGGCGCAAATAAGGGCAACAGAGATAAAGGATATGATCGCGCAAGTCTGCGCATATCCAAAAAATGACGAAACACCTCCAACATAGCTGAAAATGGCGAAACTAGGAGTATGAGCAGCGCCATTTTCGTGCATCTTGTCGATTCCAGACATCTTGTGGACCCCAACGAAGTTTATCTTGTGGTTTTTGAGATCTCATATAGCTAGCCTAAACTACCGGTCCAACGC